ATTTCATTTCGTTATTGCCACATCAGTGTTTGTAAACAATATGTCCCACAGACAAAGCCAGATGTCTTTCACTGCCTGAGTTATTTTTCCAGTTTCGCGTGGCCAAAGTGGCAGATAGTTATTAAATAACATGCAGTAATGAACCTCTTGGTTTGTTTATGTGATTATGGCATCGCATGTGAACATACTTCCCACTCAAGTGCAGTGGTTATATTGCATTTATATGTATATATCCTTCTCCTCTGCAGCTCATGGTGTCAGTAGTCGGTGATTTAAATTAAGATTAGATATAAATTGTGATTTGATTTGTAAGATTTTGTATTAACCCAATCAAAATATTACAGCTTTGTTACAACAATGCCAGAAACCTGACCCCAGTGACCTTAAAATGAATAACCATTAATCATTGATAGTTAAGTACTGTTAACTAGAAACAGGCCTCTGGTTGTGAAAAAGGAAGAGACAAATTTGACAAAGAGAGAGGCAGTCAATTGATTTGGACTGATGTTAAAACTCCAAATGTCCAACTCCATCCTAAAATTGACAGACTAAAAAAGCAGTTTTTGTGTCTATAGTTGATTTGTCGCATCGTAAAAGGAAGTGGTGCATTTTTTTTTAACTCATCCATCTCTCCAACAAGACTATTCGAGCATTATTGGCAGTGACCAAAATGCTAAAGTTGCTGTTTCAAAAGTCAGAGCTGAGGAACAAATGGGTGATGTCACGGTGGTTTAATATACAGTCTGTGACTAACACTCACCATTACTTTGACAGTAAAAAGAAAAATCACTTCCCAATTGATTACTATTGACACATCAGATACAGCTAAAATAAACAAAATAAAATACATATTGTACTTTTTAATGCTTTCTTTCTGGCGGCAGTGTAAGGCCAAGAGATTTCACATCTGTTAAAAATGATTTTAAAGATTGTATGTTGTGATGCTGCGATTGGGATACTGGTGGGCACTATTATCTCTCCATATCTCAAAATTTGGAAACTTATTTGAGATTTGAGAGCATTGGGTTAGCATACCTTTGCTTGCCAATTAGCTCTGAGAACAACTGTAGCTGATGTTCGGAATGACTTTAGTTCCTTATTTTAAATGACATTGATACATATTTACCAAGGCGATACTTAAAAGCTACTGCAACTCATGGAGACTGCCTGTAAACTTTCCATTCTGTCCAGTATATAGAAATACTGATAACAAACGATAAGGCTCTTTGACAAAATTTATTATGACTCCTTATACTTAGAATAAATGCTAATATTTATTTTATTTTTTTGCTACTTCTATGGGGTCAACAAGATTAATTGCAATTGTAGAATAATACTGTGTGCTAAATCGGCACTGCTACTAAAATGTTCAGAATTTGCAGTGCCTCTAATCAGCACGAAAATGCACCTGCTGCTGGCAGTGACATTAACTCGGCTGTACTGGAGTCACACACCTGACAGGATGGTGTGCTTAGCTGAAACTGGCTGTTTAGTTTCAGTTAAAGCAAAACAGTTTTTAAAAAATGATTAAAAACTTTACGTACTTTTGATAATAAATATTATTAATAAATATTTTTGACATAAATTTGATGTGAGATTGTAGAGAGTTGAAGATATGCAGGAATGATGTAAAAAGGTACAAATTGAACCTTCATCTTTAGTTGTTCTTGGAAACACGCCTACATTATATCTTATTAAAATTTCACTGAGAATGTAACGTCACTGCGTGACTAGCTGGATCTGATTTAAGAGGTTTTTCCATTAATCTAAATCTCTGGTTATCCAGTAAGATTAATAAAATGTATTTAAACCATAATCTTGAATATCCAGGAACTGATATGCATTTCCTAGCAATGATTTCATGCTCTGTTGCCTCATATATCAATATCTAGCTGTGCCACTCCTTTAATTTATGATCACTGAAAACGTCAACTGTGACAGTTGAATTTCAACTATAATTAGTTACTTCTTTATCTATTTAACTGCTCAATGTCTTATTTTTGTCTTCCACTATATGACTTTTGAGGTTGGGTATAGGCGTGTGCTCACTGAATGCATCACGGGGTGTGTCATGTTGGAGCCTCTGGTTTTTCATCTTTAAATGAGTCTCGGTTACTAAGTGATAAAGACATTAGGTCACACACTGGCCTTGTGCACACAGTGTAATCAAATCAAGCTCAGGATCTGATATTACTCTTGATTTTTTTCACCACTGGAGAAAACTATTTGTGTAAGGCGTCCACCCACCTGACTCCTGGCAGTAGAATATCTATCCTCTCTGGCTGCTGAAAAAACATGCTTTGAATGTAATCACTCATTATCAACGACCGCCTACTGTTTGTACTGTTCCTAAAGAATGGGAACAATCTAAATGAGAACAGGCGTCAGAACAGCACAGTGAACAAACAGAAGGCAGCTCGTTTACGGTAGTTCTTATCAACAAATTCGGTATTTTTTTCAACTGTTCTACGTGCTGTGTTTTAGATTTTTATTTAAGTCATGACCTCGTGTGATTACAGCTTAAAGTCCTTGTCCATCAAAGTAACAGGGTCAACTGTTGCTGTGGTGGACAGTCCTGTCGACTTCACTGTTTAGGTTGGCTCTCATTGTGTGATTTTCAGCAGGATCATTCTGCAAATTTCAGTTAAAAAAGGATCTCTGTACAAGTCTGAGATGGTTTTGACATATGCAGAGGAGGGGTAGTGGATATGTTGTAAAGATGTTTAGCATGGAGCTACCAGGCAGGAGGAAAAGAGGAAGACAACAGATGAGCTTTATGGATGTAGTGAAGAAGGACAAGCAGAAGGCTGGTATGACAGAAGAGGATGCTAGGGATGGGGTTTGGTTGAGATGGAGGTAGATGATGTGCTATTGGAGCAGCAACTAGCTGGTGAAAGTAGTGGAGTATTTA